TCCTTTTAGCCTTAATTCAACATTTACAGAGAGCAGAGTATAATTAGATTACCCCATTTTGTCTGCGAGACAGGGGCGCCCACGAAGCACCTAATTTCTTGTATGTCAGCAGAACAGATATTAATCCCTTAACACTTCATTCCCTCCTTTTATCATTCCATGATAACCAACTAAATGGGGGCTGAGAAAGGCGCCGCCAGCTTATTCGTAAGAATCTTACAGCCAGTATTTAAGCAAGTTATTAACACACAACATACAATGATTATAACAACAAAAATTACTAGCCCATGCAGTAGATAGGATCCCCAGGATCGTCCCAGTAGCCACCCTTGCCAGTCATCTCCCTTCTTAGGACCTTGTCTGACATCTTCCAATTGTTTCTTAATAGACTGGATGGCGTGGGTTATATTGTATGATTCGTCCGTAACATGGGTGATGCATTTGTCTCCTACTATTGTACAGACTCCTGCTTGTTGAGCCAGCTGATAGTCCACTGCATACCGGGTTTGCTGAGCATAGAGCCAAAGTTCAGCTAATTCTTGATTTACTGCTTCCAATGCCCACATTGTGCTATTACCCAGGGCGGTGAGTCCACATATAAGGTAGTTTCGGTTTTTAGCGGACACCACCCCTGAGGAGCCTCCCAAAGTGACAGTTCCCAGGAAGCCATGTCCTAAGGAAGAGCCCAGGGTTACTGGATCCTGCCAGTCGGCGCAAAACTCCTTGCTTATGAAGCGTGTGACAATTTGTCGTCGAATATATGCTCGTTGGGGATAAGGGACCGTGGGAGGCCCAATGGTCCCAACAGCAAATAGCACCGGCAAAGTTGGAGTAGCAGTAAAAAAGGTCCCATTGAGAAGGAAAACGAATCCCTTCTTAGCACGGTAGCAGGTAACGGACTCACAGACTATTTTGTAACTATTCCAGGAGGATTGACCCATAAATGGTTGGAAGTCTGAGGAGTGAAACGGAAACGTCCCATACCCCGTTTCGACATGGGTGCCATTACAACTCCCACAAGTCCAATGTATGCCTGAAATCATGTTTACCGGTTTTGATTCCAAACAGGGGCAGTTCAATAGCCCTCCTTTAGTTGTACAAGTCCGTTTTACACACTGATGGGGCCAGGAAGCATCATGGGGATGGTGGGTGATGTTTACTAAGGCATATACACAACAACTTCCAGTACCATTAAAACGAAGCGGATAGCTGTTAGGATCCATACAGTTGGCCCCTTCCTTCCCAGACTTAGGTTTAGTGCCTGTACAATTAGAGGGGCCGTTACTTATCAATTGTACACATTTACCCTGCACACCCCTGCTCCAGGTTCCTCTCTTCCCTTGGCAAGGCTCACCGGAATAATCTACCTCATAGAGTTGGTGAGGGTTCCACCCTGGGGTTGCTACAAACAAAGCTTCTACAGATTGTGCTTGTGGTTAACACACTGTTCGATTACCATGCAGTAGGATATGTGTCTTATAAAACAAATTGTCCTCCAACCCACTCACAGTCTGAACAATACTTAGTCCAATGATTATTTTCAAGATGGTGAGGGAACCCATCGTTTACAGTCACTTAGGTGGATCCAGCAATTCTGCCCTTTGACTTTAAGCACAGTCGGGGTCTGGAGAAGTATTTGGAATGGTCCTTTCCACCTGGGTCCGAGCTTGGGGCAATTCCTGTCTTTGATTAGCACGAGGTCTCCCGTTTGTAGTCTAGGGGGTTCATTCTGGTCGTCTGAGCTCTGATCCGTCGCTTGTGGTGGTGGTCCGAAGGCGTGCTTTACCTGTGAATGAAGAAACTTTAGAGACGATGTTAGCTGCTGAAAGTATCTTTGCATTTCCTCTCCCATAATATTTAAATCTACGTGGGTAGGTGGGTCTGCGTCGGCATCCCAAGGGATCCTACTGGGTCGGCCATAAATTATTTCTGCGGCCGAGAGTCCAGTAGTGAAGTGGCGTGTTATTCTCATGTGGTACAGAGCTAAAGGCAAAACCTTTAGCCAGTTAAGGCCGGTTTCGGATGTTAGCTTAGTTAATTTAGTTTTGAGAGTTCCGTTAGCTCTTTCCACTATCCCTGCCGCCCTGGGGGTGGTAGGCACAGTGGAATTGTTCTTTGTTGATTTTCCCTACAAAGTGGGGGCCATTGTCTGAACTAATCTGTCGAGGCACTCCAAACCTCGGTATGATCTCTGTCAGTAGTAATTTTACCACTGTTGAGGCTTTATTATTAGTGTTTGGAAAGGCTTCAATCCATCTGCTAAATACATCAACAATAACAAGACAATACTTATAGCAATGTACACGCAGCAGTTCAATGAAATCAAGCTGAATACACTCAAATGGGCCGCCTGGCAAGGGTGTTTTCCCTGTTACACACCACCTTCCTTGGCCAGCATTATTTTGCTGACATGTCAGACATGACCTGACACGCTTCTGGGCTGCCTCAGCCAATCGGGGGTGCCACCAGGTACGTAACGTGATATTACTCATTCCCTCCTTGCCAAGGTGGGTATCAGTATGAAAACAGTCAATAAGCATTGGTAACAAAGCATCAGGTATACACACTTGGCCAACTGGAGTGATCCAGAGACCTCTTGACGCAGAGTGCGAACACCCATGCGTCTTCCATATTTCTTTTTCTAAGTGAGGGGCTGTTGTAGCGTCTTTGGCAGCTCGATCAGCTCTGGCATTGCCTTTGCTGATATCTGTATTGTCCATTACATGGGCCGCACATTTGATTATGGCCAATTGCTTGGGGAGGAGGATGGCTATGAGGAGATTTTGGACGTATAGTGCTGATGTGGTTGGGCGGGTGGGGCACTAGGCGGAATTTGCCAATCCTCCTCCTGGTCATCGGTGTCATTATTTTGGAACAATATTGGCAGACCAGACATGTCAGGAGGTACCTCCATTTTATTCCCACATGATAAACCGGCTTGACACTTCAACCCTGATTCCTTATTTTGCCTCTCCTTTCTCAATCTTTCCTGTTCTGCTTTACTCATATCATAATCCTCACACTGCCGCTTCAACACCTCCCACGACTTAGGGTTTCCCTCATAATCACATACTCTAATCCCTCTCCGACGTGCATTATTCTCCCAGCTGGCCTGTTTAGATTTATTCATTATTTCCTCAGCAGTCTTTCTCCACGTGGATATTAAAGTTTTCAATTGCCCCTGAATTACGTTTCCAAATTGCCTCTTCCGCCTTTATGCATTTATCTACATCCCAAGTTCCCCCTATTGGCCAAATTTCATTTCCCAATTTCTTATTTAGGCATGCCAACAGATGTCTCAACCGTTCTTCATTTTCGGGGTCATCCCGACATAACCGATGTGAAGGAGTTCCGACACCCGACTTATCCAACGTCTGTCCCATTCTAATCCTTCTACTTCTTACTTATTTCTATATACTAGTCCAGTGTCTTTGGTCACACCCACTTCAGGGTCCTTACCTTCGCGTGGGGGATTTCCCCTCTTAACAACCGGTCTAAGGCAGGGTGGTTGAGACAGACACGGTAGTTATCTTTTACCTTAGGTACTACGTTCCAGGGACTCGAACCCCGGTATTTGAGGACTCTAACCTCCGAATTCCCTGTACTTACAGTTAGGAGGACTCTAACCTCCGAATTCCCTGTACTTACAGTTGGGAGGACTCTAACCCCTGAATTCCTGACACTTACAG